CTTCCGGTTTCCCGGGCGAGATTTCCGTCATTGTAAGTTCGCGACACGATAGTTTCGTGTGACTGGTCCGCGGTAATACGAACTAAAAGCAACGCGGTGCTGTGACGTGTCCAAAGACCCCGTCAGATTTCTGGTCCATGTATTTTTTTTTCCTTCTCTTTTTTTTCGCTTTTGTTCGTTTCCTTTCTCTCGTCACCCTGTTTGTCCGGCTTCTTTATTCGTTTCAAATGCTTCTGTCTGATCAAAGCATCCGAGTGTTGCGTCTAGGGTATTCCTGGACAAAGATGCCTCTTCATTTTTATAATTGAAACGACCGGCGCCAAGATGAATGAGAATTTGGAAAGTTTTCGACAAGACTCGCTCCTGAATATCTCTACCGGGTTGAAAAGTGCGGATTCATATTTAGGATGGACATCTTTTATTCCTTTTCTCTTGCCCGAACTTCAAGGCAGGAAAAATTCAAAAATTCATGCTTTAACTTCAGGAATTCGTCTGTTCAAAATTTATGTACATGTACAATTGTGCGTTTTTAAGATTGGTTCGAAAAAAATATTTAAAATATAAAAACAGTGATAATGAGGATAGTATATAGAAGGGACTATGTACTTGAGAATAGTTTAAATGGTATAAAACTTTCCAAAGAAAATTTGGCAACTTTTTAAGTACGTGACATACGTTTTACGATTCATAACAGGGAAATAATTCGCAGGGAAGTTTGAAACAAGTTTCTACAGTATTCATGAAGTCGGCCACCTATCGCCAGCTCGATTTTCCACCTGCCTTGTCCGATTAATGTATTCCCATCCCTGTACAGCTCAATAAAATCAGGAAAATAATAATACGCTTGTAGTAAGTTACATAAATATTGATAATTCGGTCATCAAATTTCATCAACATTGCGAAAGTAAATGGGAATCGATCTCTGTAAGGTAATAAAACTTTTGTAAATGACTGTACGGTTCGATGAAAGCCGTTGTTTATTTGTTGGACTGGTACTCGATTACTTTTGAAGATTCGGAATTTTCGGTTCACTTCGATTTTCACGAATTACATTTCAGGAGGGATGGAAGAGCAGGGTAAATGAAGTATATGTAAATAATGAGGGGTGAGAATGAATACGTTGCCGTGGGAAGGGGTGAGTTTGTGGGTGCACTAATGGCGGGTGCAACGGCCGTTGAAGGGCCACCCGAAAATAATTCCGTCCTTCTATCCTGCCGAGAGAATATCCCCCTCAAGCCGCCCAATTATCGTGAAACGCCTACCTACTACTTCGCGCTTCGGATTTAAGTAAATGAAGAGCGACGCTTGTTCGTAGACAATGCTATCGCCGATAAATCTTGACAGCAAAATCAATGAGAGCCATTTTATTTTATTTTTTATACGAAGCACCAATTTGTAACATCCCTGTTACTTCTTTACCCTTAACTGCTGAGGAACGATGAATATTTTTTGTATTAGAATTTGTAGCTAGAATTTTTTTTTTTTTTTTTTTGTTCAATTATTTTATGAAAATCAGAAATAAAATCTTATATTGACTCTTCACGATCGCTTAGACCGGTTAGTTGTTAAGGAGTTAGGAAAACGAGCAGTAAAAGATAGAAGAGTGAAGGAAAATTGAAAAGTCAAGAAACTACCCCTTTTCAACTACCATTCCTTTACTCGTAGAGTTTAACCTCGTACTAGAAGACCGACTTTACCCACATTTTCTTTCATCGATTCATCCTTCGTCTCCGCTCCTCGAACACAACCATTCCTATCTTTACATCTCTATTTTCCTGTTCGATCGTCACGTACGACCCTCGATTCCCCTCAAAAACTTTCATCCCATTTATATATGTGTATAGTTCTGATTGTACAATCAGTGCCACGTAATGCTGTTTCCTTTAAACTTGCACCCAGAGTACTCGAGACCTTTGAACTTGTATAAATCATATTTTTATGCTTCGATAATGTTGCATCGGTAATGAATCGTGTACGAGGTAAAGATTGATGAACCTAGGGCTGGATGCATAATAATACAAATTTCTGGGATTCGTTGAATATTAAAATTGATGTAAACATTTTCCTTGCAATATCAGTGAGTTTATAAAAATTTAAGTTGCACGACGAAAATTTTTACCTTCAATTTAGAAATATAAAAACCATCAAATTTTAATGATAAGTGAATTTTCAAGAAAAATAAATCAAAGATAACACTTGTGTCCATCGTCAGAAATATTATTTTATTATAAAATTAACAAACCGCAAATGGACGACCCAAAGGGCAATAAAGAAAAAGAAATATTTATCATTTTGAAATACAGTTCGTTACTGGTACTTCTTGAAAAGGGAAGGACTGAAAGAAATCGTGAAGAAGGAATCCCTTTAACCGAACTTAATCAAAGAACTTCTTTCTATCTGGAGAAGAGGATCGATGGTGAATTTATCACTGTCTAAATATCAAGTGGACGCGAAAACAACATCGAATCCAACCTGTCCCCTGACGTTCGGTCAGCTTATTGAAACGAACTCTTTAATCACCCCTCGATTATCCGTTCATGGATGAAATTTTAATTTACGAGGCAGTAAAGTTCCTAAAGAGTTACGCTGCCGCGGAAAATTCGTTCGTTTTATGTGCTCTCGCCTTGAAAGTTTCAGTTTGACCGTTAAACCACCCCTCCTCGTTGGATGAGTGATGGGGACCAAACGAGAAACAGAGAAAAATGGGTAAGGGGTTTGGAAAAGAAGCAAAAAGGAGGGGAACAAGAGCTGCAGCAAAGTACGAGGCAATGAATTCGTCGTATTAAACTGGTAGATTGGAATTTTAATTAATACTCGCGAATTATAGATAAAGGCGCGAGAAGAAAGGAACGAAGATGATGGAACTATGATTCCTTTCGTTGTTCCTTCGCTCTTTCATGGTTCATCGTCTTCCTTAACTTTTGAACAGCAAAATAAAATTTTTATATTTTTTTTTTCTTTTTTTATAAATAATCCAAGGTCTGGTATACATGCTTTAAAAAATATTAAAATAGATCCTGTATCGTGATAAAAATTTTGACGTTTGCCACTGTTGCGTTTGATAAGTTTATTCGCCATCGATTTATCGGATGCTCCGCGAACCGATACCTATTGTATGATACCAGCGCGCGTTTTACAGATCCCACTGTGTATATTATTGACACTTGCGTTTATCTAACAGTACTGTATCGATCATAAATATTGAAGCGAGTAGATCTTGATATTTTGATCTGTCTGTTTTGATTGATTCAACAAGCGAACGAAACACGTTCGTGCTGCGAAACTGTTCGTATACATACAATGGTGCAAAGAGTATTCTATTATTTTTATTTCAGCAACGATCGTCTGGTTTGTTATACTATTGTCTAATCGTGTTGGAAACGAATCGCAGTCAAATTTTTACAAACAATGATAGCAAAAATATATTTGAAAGGTAATTGTAATTTACATCTGGGTGTAAGTAAATTTTCATTTACTGAACAATGAATTCTGAATTTTTCATCTACACCTCACAGTTTGTGAAATATTAAATAAAATTTTAATTATAATTTTTTAAATTATTTTTATCCCATTCAAAATAAAATAAAATAAAATACATTTTATGGAATTTTACATCGTATCAAAATTGCATAATAATCTGTGCTTGCCAATTGAGTAATGTCCACCAAAATTGTTTTCTTTCCAAGAGAAATCACTTCGAATAGGAATGTAACGTGTATCAATTTGTTTCCAATAATTTACATTCTGTTTTCGGTTTAAGAGACATATTGAGATTTCCCGGTTCTGGTTCTCTATCCCACATATAAATTTTTGTTGCGTGCACGTAGTACCGATAACGTGATACGGATCAGCGAACGAATTCGTTCGGTCTTTGTAAGCTTTGTTTGCACAGTGAAAGGATATAGGTCGATTGCAAAGAGCTGATTCTTCTTTACCATTCAATATCACGCTTTCACGATTCGTTTTTCAAGAGAATTCATATTCGCTCCTCGCTGTTGTATCTTTCGAAATGCCAATCCCCGATCAACAAACCGTACACGCATAACGAACACTGCAATCAAACGCTATCCTTAATAATTGACACATTTATTACGTACCAGTAATTTCGATGCTTCTTCCGTTAATTATTTTACTTCAAATTAATCATAACCAGATTGGAATTTCATTAACGCCACTCGTATTGATTAAACATTTCAATCATTTATATTCATAATATTTATGAGGGATTTTCATAAAATGTTCTTGCACCGTTAACTGTTGGGAAATTAGCATTTATTTATTGTTTCATTGGTTCGATTAGAGAATGTAATATAAGAAATGTACTTGGTAAGGAAAAAATACATATCTGTCAGTCTGAAACGCGGAGAACGACGTCGCTTACATCGATGGCGACGCTTGAAGTGTAAGCAAAACGAGACTCGTGCCAGACAAAGTGTTCTTCTACGTTTTTCAGTCCCTTTTTCCACTCTGTCTCTCTTTCTTAAACTTATGAAAAGAAAGAACATAGCCCTTCCCTGGACGGCAGGAAGCCATCGAGAGGCAGCAAAAGTGGAATTGTGAAATATTAATGTGACTTCCGTCAGAGCTCTGTTCTTCCTCTTCTTCTTCTTCTTCTTCTTTCGCTTCTTCAACATTTTCTCGTCTTCTCTTGGTTTTGATGCTAGTCTCAGCCATCTTATCATGAAACATACGAAAACCTTTGGGAAAGGGTTCAAATTCCACCCCCATCACTTGCAATAAGAAAATGAAAGATTTCTTTCAAAAAAAATTTATTTAAATTTATATAATTTTAATAAAATTAAAAGACAGATCGTGGAACAAAAGGTTGAAATTGTACTTCTATCATTTGCAATAATAAAATTAAAGATTTCTTTGAAAGAATTTATTAAAATTTATACAGTTTTGATGAAATTATGTTGGCAAGGATTAGCAAGTAGATCGCGTTATATTCATGAAAACACCCTCCTTGACGTTTCGTCTTTTTCGAATGACTGTTTCAGGAAGGCGAGAGGGGATACTTGGAGGGGCTCGCTTCAAGGTATGCAGACCTCTTCAGAACGCATTACGGAGACGTCCTGGAGCCGCTCGAGGAGCTACGTCGCCGTGAAACAAATGCTTCCCCCAGAATGCCCAACACTCAACTCACCACCAGTCATTCACAGCCCATTTACGTGCCCGGAAAATACTCGGTAAGTGAATCCGTCTCTTTTTTATTCTCTCCTTGATTTTCTTTCTCTCCTTTACCTTCTCTTTTTCTTTCGAGTATTTACCCTCACGAATCTCTTTCACTTTTCTCCTTTATTTCTAGACTTCTTTCGTACATACGTCAGGTAATTGTACCTATTTCATAGTTTACCTGAAAACGGCCAATGAGATTCATTTACACGTGATTACAGGAGAAGTATATCAGAGTTAATTTCTGGGTGGATTGAAAAGAAAAGAGGGTAAATTTCTTCGAAATGAAAATGATAATATTTTGACGGTGAATTTTTTGAAATTTACTTTTGGTACGAAGGAAAAATGTAGTCTTACCTTTCTGGTCACGTTCTTTGAAAGAAGGATTTAGCGTTGAACTGAGAGACTAAACACTTTCTATCGTAGAATTGAAAGTCCTCGGAGAGGATCCCGGAAAAGTAGTTTCAAGGAATTAACCGTGTAGATCTGTCGATTCTGCTTTAAATTAGTTATTGTTCACCGTTCAGACTTTTCTTGCGGCTAATCGAGTTCTCTATCGATCGTCGATTGAGCTTCGCTTTTTCTAAAACCAAGAAAACACCGAAGTGAATAATTAACCAAGTGTTCTTTCAGAATTAATGAAATTAAATTATTAATGCATTGGAATATTTAATGCTTTCAAATTTAATACAATTTCAATTTTCTTAATTTAACTTGGTAAAACGTGGAAACGATGGAGGATTTTTAATATTTGTTTGCAGCCCTCGAGTTGCCTCAGTGATAAAGAAGAGGATGAGATCTATGGTTTTGGATACGGAGTCTTTAGCAGACAAATGCTTCAACAACGACAGCAGAAACTTGCTCTTGCTGCACAAAATCCTACTCCATTGACGCCGGGCACACATCAACAAGCCTATCAAAGGTAGGAGTAATTAACATCATCAAGTTTTCACTAGTCAGCAACAAAATTTTCTAAAATTTATAGTAACTAATTCATTATTCATTGTAATTGATGATAAACCATTTTTTACTAAGAATTTTAATTTAATTAATTTTATTATGAATGACTTGCATTTTCAATATTCAAGTCTTTGTATGCAAATGACAGTAATATTTTCTTGTTAAACTATTGAACAGAGATAGATTAGAATCAGCAACTCTACACCACTAGATAGAATCTCCGCTTACGAAGTACCGTAGATTCAATTATCCGAATGCTTATTCGAACAACCAGTCGGGGGTAATGCTTAACTGGTATGGCCTGTTTATTATACATAATTGCCCATTGTTAAGTGGCCAAGCTGATACGAAATAGCATCTGTGCCCACCTTTACGCTGGCTGCTTGATATTTAATTGCTAATTAACCAACAGACTACCGCGCACCCGTTCGCCATAGTTGAGAATCGTGAATAGAGAAAGGGAACAAGGAAGGTCGTTATTAAATTCCATTATCTAGCCAGTTAGTGTTATCTGTTTCCATACACACGCGAATAATCATGATTTTGGCTATTTTCAGCATATAATACACTATTCTCGTCCCTATATTTTTATATATTTCTGACATTAATCCTTGTTTTCTATTTTATTTTCTCAAGTAATCTGTAATCAATTTTCAATTACTAATTATCAGATACACCATTTAATTTGATGCCTTCTTCATTTTAATTAAAAATTTATTTTTTCAAAGTTATACTACTCTCAGATATTTAAATAATTGTTATCTTTGTTCAAACATCACATAATAGTGTTGATTAATGTGTTAATTAATTTTCATTATTTTCATCGGAACAGGTGTAAAACATGGTTCCGAAACTGTTATTCAAATTATTTTCAAACTTGTCGATTTTTCCATGGAGATAAAGCGAAGTAACGAACAGTACCGGGAATAAAAATATACTGGTGAGTGATTTAACCGAGCAGAAGAGCTTCGCGACAGAAAACCGTATTTTGTCGTCCGGCTACTGGTATCGATTTCAATACCAAATACTACTGAGCGAGTACGTTAACTTGAAATTGAACAATTGTTGTCTGTCTGTTCGTCCGACGAATATCCTCGTTCATCTCACCTTCGAAAAAAAAAAATCCTGGACACAATCAACGGAACGAAATACTAGCGTACAAATAACAACCGAGTTCATTTAATTTATTTATTTATTCTTTCTTTTCTAATCACTGTTTACAGCTAGCTGAGTAAGTAAACTTTTCTAAATTGAAATTTAAAAATCTCTAAACAATTTGACTTTTTCACAAATTTTTCTCTAATTTAATAATCTTTAATTAGAAAAAAAAATAATTACAAAAATTGAAGGGGATGAAAGTAATATGGAACGCAAAATTAAATTAAAATTGTGGTTCTTTCAGTGTTAAAAAATAAAATATATTTGATGATAAAGGATCATTGTAATCAAATGTAAACTTATTGTCAGTTATAGTATAGTAATGATTAGTGATCGTGACAGCATCCATTGAAGTAAGGTACAAGGGCGTATAATTAATTCAGTCAAGGGCTCGTCAATCGATCGTTACGTCGAATAATTAATTTCACGTTGTTGCTTGCACACTGGAATTGGATAAACTTCGATATCCACTTAAATTATTATTTTACTAATAACAAGTCGAATTAATTACCGTTTCATTAACCTGGAAAATTCCGAGCATATTTAAACAATTCGATGCAAAATATTTTGATCACTAATCAATTGTAAACAATCTCTCTAAATAAAAATTTAATTAGTACCTCCACTGTGCCTTAATTTAAAACACTTCATATTATAAAACTTTCAATTGTTGTCCAATTGAAATTACATGGTTTGTCCATTGAGTTAGCTTTTCCTCAAAGACCACTATTAATTATGCGGTTAGTATTACAGAACGGTGTATGGGGACACATGAATGCTGCATCACCATTCATCACCAATTCACTGGTATGCAAACTGTCCACCTTTTAACTATGTCCTTTCGCATGCATTTATGTGAATTTCTATTTTCTTATGGAATCGCTTTGTTGAACGATTAATAGAACAAGAAACAACGTACTCCTTCAAATATATCAATAAGGCAATTAATGCAGACTAAACTTGAGCCCCAACAGGAAATTAGTGTGCTCGCATTCCAACGTGATGCATTGTCAGAGATTGACGGGTCCTTCCCTAATGTTCGAAGTACTCGGAATATTTGGAGAAATACCATAGTTAAAGGAAGGACAAGACAATTCTCAAATTAGAAATAAAATGAAGAAAATTTTTATTTGTTAATGGTTTATCATCAATTATATATATTACACTTTTCACATATTGTCACACACTTATTTATGATAATGTTTGTTTTGTTCCAGCTGCCTGAGCCCAAGATCCGCATACTTCTACGAGTTCCCGCCCAATGGTGAGTCACGTAATTGTATGAACTTTGTTGCTTCTTTTTCAAGATTTCAGAAGGAACCTGGAGGAAACTCCACTTCCGTATAGTTCTACTTAAGTGCCTTTCATTCACTGAGTAAAAGTGGAACGCGTCGTGTTGTTCTAACTACGAAAGACAAGTACATACTTGGATAAGAATGCCGTATTAATAACAGAGAGTTCGTATAAATTTAATATGATCTTGGTGAAAGCTTTAAGTAAGGATATCTTAGGACGCAGAATGTTTGGAAATAAGGATAAAAAGATATCTTACCTTTCCTTTTGGTTTAAGTCAGATTACATTTTTTTCTTCAACGTGAGAAATAAATTTTATTTTTATCCGTGAAATTCATAGCGGATATGGGGATAAATAAAAAGAAGAAAAGGATCGTTTTGAAATTTCAGAAAAGTTATTATGCGTAAAGTAAGATTGAGTAGATATAAAGATGGTCCCATAGTTTCTCATTTGCGGTGCTTTATTCGATGATCTTTACGAGTACGTCGAAAGACATAAGCTGTAAAGTAGCAAAAAATGATGTTAAAAGCATATACTCGTATCCTTTTATTACCACCATCTTCGATTGATGTACCACTAAGAAAGTTAAGCTTATATCCGCTTTATCGTCTCCATCGCATCAAGGATCACGTTTCTACTTTCATACAGCAAGCTTAATTTTTCAGTTCTGTAAGAGTACTCTTAAACGATACTCCTATTTCACGATCAACTTTTCTTGCTTTTGATGAAACGTTTATGATTACGTGTTTCTACGTCTGTAATCATTATACCTGACGTACACGGTTAAAGCAAAAATTTTCTCAGCTCATTTCCTCGCATTTTTCTCCGTGAAATATTTCATGTTAGTTTTTCATAAACTCTGGTTTTCTAATCATTAGCCTAATTAGGATTTTTTCTGGGGTTATCCAGATCCCATAGGAATTTTGAAATTTTTTAAATCTGAAATTTCATTTCGAAGTTGTAGAATTTTGAAATTTTCGAATCTTCAAATTTTTAAATAACAAGGAGTCCAGTTCACATTTTTGAAAGGACCCTGATTCCTAGTTACACCACTGAATCTAATACAACAAAAAATTATTTAATTTCATAGCATTAAATGTCACGCGAAAACCCTTGTAGTCAACCCTCTCTTGGATTTTAGTCAGAACAAATAGCACTCGGTGTAGCACGGTTAAAGCATTTCGCGAATCAAGTAAACTGAGCAATCGTGTTTGCGTATTCCAACAAGCGTCACGAGTTTTGGGTTAAGTTTGTGTCTGGATTTCGATAGCTGTTTGTACGCTGCGACAACAGCTAAGGATTGTAACGATCCGACATTGACGCCTCTTACATGAAATTACTGTTAAACATGCACCATTTAGAGAGCACGCTGTTGGTTTAACTTGATTAGTCTTCGGCAGAGGTGCCTTCGTGACACAGAAATGTAAACGGAAGTTAAACCTTCTCACAGTGGTCCAATATTGAGATATTATAACAAAAGATCAATAATTTTGTGTGCCCCAAAGTACAGTTCAGCCCATTCTCTATTAAACATTACAAATATCTTTGAATTATAAAATTTATATAATTTGATTTAAAAAATTCTTAAATTCTCTACAGATAGTAAGGATAAATAAATTGATTTTCAAGAAAAATGAAAAATTAGGTAATTGTGGAGAAACAGATGGAGATATTTATCGACATAAACAGACGGATAACGTGAAAAGACCTTGATCTCAATTATATATTCATAGAATTGAAAATGGTGAGCTGGAAAAGGGAAAGATAGCGGATGAACTCAATAGAAATAAAATATCAAAGCTGCCCTCTTTGGCTTGCGCGCCAACTGCTTCTCCAATATGAGATCTAGTGTTTTTCGATATCTTGAAAAATTCCAATAGCACGACTCGACCATTTCGGCCTTTCTGCTTGATTTTATTTTCCGTCTTAGTACGTCCACTTTCAACAAAACTACCTTTCCCGAATGTATCTACTCCACCGAAGCAATCGGAAAAACACTGAAGTGTTTTCTTTTTAATTTTAGTTTCCCTCGTGAACCGTAACTTTGATTTATCTGTTTATAAATATTATAAAACAATATCTTCAAGTAATAACTATAATGTTGTTGATTTTTTAATTAAAATATTCTTCAATAAAAAAGAAAAAATTGATTCATTCATTAATTAGATAAAAATTAAATTAGTAAAATTAGATACCCTCTAGATAGAAACACTCAACAACTCCAGTAAACAGATACATCTTTTTAAAGCTGACATTAAGTGCCATTTCTGCAATATACGTACGAGAAAATGATCAAATTGTTATGAATTCATGATCTGCATGTGGAGTGACATTTTATCTCTAGCGTGCGGTAATTGTTCCATTTTCTTTTTCTTCCTCGTTCCTCTGTTTTTCGTTCTTCCGTTCCTAGTGCCGCGTAACAATATAACCTGTATGTAAATTAAGTCAGCTTAATTGCGAGTGTTTTGCATGCGTGGAATATCCGGTTGACAATCGTCGTATCGCAATCGTGCATAGTACCGTTTCCAACGGGGATATCTGCATTCCACACAATTTTTCGTCTCGTCGCGTGACTTTGTCGAATGAACGGGCAAAGCAAAGATCGTGAACGAGATAAGTATAACCCGAGACTTACTTAACGTAATTATATTACGGTTAGTTAATTAGGGCGTAGGGAAATTGTTCAACGAACGTGACGAGAATATTTATTTACGCTCTATTTGTTTCAATTAAGATACATGGTTTCCTTCGCTTACCATAAGTGCCTGTTTCGGTATAAATTTTATTTTATCTTTATTACATTACTTCTTTCATTCAATTATTATTTTTTCGATATTCAAATGATTGGTATCGAGTGATTACAGTCACTTTGAGTAGCGAAAGGGTTCACTCGTCACTAATCGTGTAACAGTTTTCGCGATAAGTGGCGCCAGAGTCGAAAGTGACTATCAAATAGAAAGAAACATGAAAGGTCGAGTTGGAAAAAATCGGAAAAGAGGTAAAGAGAGTGAGAACTAGACGCTTTTCACTTGGCGCGAGCACGTGATGTTACAGTTCCGCATAGGGTACAAGTGCTTCCTCCCCCTAGCCGACATCTCCCTCTCGCTCTGTCAGAATGGGGAATGAAAAAAGCGGCATTCATGACTGCATATATAGGGTGTCCGTGTTAAGTTCTTACAATCTTATTATTTCACGCATATCAATAGAAAATTTTCCATAATTTATATTTTAAAAAATATGTATAGAAAATCAAATTTTATTTTTAATTTTTTAACATAGAAAATTTGAAAGTAATCCAAAACAACGTCACTGATATATCTATTTGAAAATTAAGATTTTATAAAAATGACTTCATAAATGTTTTTATTAATATTTTTAGTATGGAATTAATGACTCATGATTATCATTGTCTGAACACCCTGTACAAGATGTTTTTTTTTTTTTTTTTCAACCCACTCACTGTATACATATGCAGTAGCACTCGGCGTGGTGTTGTCATGGTAACAACATTGGTTTGCACGAAGTTGCAGCCGCAAAAGCGAAGGCGTGACAAATAGGGAGAAGAATAGACAATGACGATGCTCCAGTCTCTCGACGGGACTCTCAGCTTCACCGAACCGAGATCGTTCGTGCCTGTAACGCCATCCGCTCGCATGCTTTGGAGTTCATCCAGCTTTCATTCTTTCTTTTCACCTGCCACCTTTTCACCCTTTCCTACGCGTTACTCTTGCTTAAGAATATTAAATTGAATCGACGACGTGTTGTGATTCAAATAACGCGGTGTCTGGGTGAAATTCACCTTCGAATATAATTGATTTGAAAATATTAATTACCATGGATCAGAGATGTAACCTTATTGGGCTGAACTTTAATTTGGGACACATAAAAATATTTGAATGTCGAATTTTGCAGGAAGAACAAAGAATATAAATTATCTTATGAATATTTTAAGTTTATAGATGAGTTTTATGAGAAGGGAAGTTGAAGGAAGTATCGTTTGATCGCCCTATGGAGATTGTACGTACATGGTGTGCTCTTCAAGTGCGTACTTTGGAGCTCATCCAGACTTCACACCCGGTGCTTTCACCTTACCCTTTCTCATCCTATTTTCCACACGCTTTTGAAATGCTATGTTTACAGCACCCCTCTATTCAACCCTTCAATTGATAATCGAGAAATTGGTCGACGAACCATTCGCTCGCTTCAGAAAAATAATATCTTATCATTTGTCTTCTTTTGTTATAAATTAAAATGTCCAATACTGGAATTCATTGAATCTTCATGATAATTTAATCTACGAAGAACGCTTTCTATAAGATCTTATATAATCGTATATTTCTATTGATTATCACGTTATAATTAATAGCACTCGTCTCTCGTAGCAGTGCCTCGATATCGAGAAAGTGAAAAATGGATAGCGCCGATAATATCGGCATACTCTCGTCATTTATCTCCCTGTTCATTTATTCGATGTCGTTAAAAGTGAACGACTTTTAAGCCGGTATTAATCTGACTCTTGACTCGAAAGCACGACAAAAGCTGGAGGAAGAGGTGCGTTGTAAAGTAGCAAAGTTACTTTCCTCGATATTGATGCATCTCGCCATTACCATAAATCAGTCTTCCAAGGATAATGATAAGAAATTGTGAATTTTTCATTTGAATGATAAAAAAAAATTAATGCCGTATTGAGATAATAGAAAAATTGTAAAAGGACAGGTTAAAGATATGTGCAATCTGGCTATAGTTCCTATTCTCGCCGCCAGACTCGCCTCAGCTTTCTCGCTAGTGCTCACTCCATAACTCGTCACCAAGCATCAAGTACCTCAAGTTTAATAATCTTCCAGAAAATGAATGTCATCAGATAAGAAAGTTATTATCAAAAGTGTTAACGTTAATCTGTCCATTAATTAAGGCCAATGTCCATAAAAAGAAAAGAAAAAAATTAGTAAAGTTGAAGAGTACCTGTAGGGTACTGACAGAGGTGTGTCCAGAAACGAAATAAGTTGTTGAAGTAGAAGAGAAAGAAAAAAGAGGAATGGCGTATTATAGCAGCCACGAAGCAGAAGCCTGTATGCACGTGGAAAGGAAACGCTCGTGTTATTCGAAGGATAGAAAGAAACGAAGAGAGAAAGTAGATCTTAATATCACTTATTTATTCATGCTTATAGCCCTGCTTTCGCCGCTCGAGGATTTTCATAACAGGTTTGTTCTCCTACCCTGCAAAGTCCACATTATCAGCGAGCACATTCTGAGATTGTTTATGCTCCGCCTATGCAAATTTAGCAAATTCTTTCTGCTTCTTATGAAACGAAGCATCGTATACCATGAGCTGTACCATCATTGTCACTTTTTACTCTTCTTGTTTATCTTTTCTTCTCTGTACTTCTGTCTTTCAGTTCTTCCTATGATAGATCACCTGTCGTTAAACATTGTGTCATAGTAATGCCTTCTGTTTCAAAGGGGTTTAAAAATGAATGGATTTAAATTACATCTTTGAAGATAGACACAGGTCGAAAGGATTTTCTTATGCACCTCACACGCGAACTCCTGGTAACCACTTCTCAGCCAGAAACTTTGGATTCTTCTGGTCATATCTCGAACGTGTAAACCTGAGCTTGCAGAATACGTAAGGAACCTCTTCTTGACCTCATCTTCCTCTTGATCCCATGGTGGCACGTAAGTTTACCACGGGACAAACTTTCCCGACCTTCTCGTTGCTTTAAAATAATTTAAAAGGGGAAGAGAAACTTTTCGTTGGTTACCAGAAGACACAGAAGAAAGAAGAGGTTTGGTAAAGAATCGTGGACATTTAATCCCCTTAGGGCCTCCAGGTGCATGTGTATCGCATAATGCAGCCTTTTTGACGTAACTTTTGTTGAGGATTGCATAAACGATGTTAATCTTTAATTTTATAAATAATTTATAAATTGAGACTGTTGCAAAAATAATTTAATGATTAATTAAATCTGCAATGTAATGGAGATTGATTTCATAGAGCATATGTTTGATATCACGCTTCTGTGAGGTTTAATAACCCGTTTTTATCAGAACGAAGAATTCTTCTCGCGTACAGATACAATGCAGAAAATCGAGAATACAGGGCGGTGAAAAGGGTGCAACGGAGCTCACCTCGTAATTTACAGAAAAACGTGCCGGGAGTCGAAAACCAAGAGAAAATATCATTGCCGGTTTCTTTCATCCCCGATGGTCTAGTTATAATCAAGAATATCCCCGTTGAAGAACCAATTGAATTTGTTGGTCACGGTTCCTGCTATCTCCTGACCCCTGTGTTCCTCCAAGAACTAATTATTGGAACACGTAAGATCTAGCTATATCCACTATTACGACTGCGGTCGAAAATTTTTATTGCAGTTTAAATGAAAGCCTGATTACATTGCAGACATTAATTTATAAGACTATCGAACCCCTTGCTTAATAAACTCGAGTCAAAAATTGAAATTTCTTCTACATAAAATTAAATAATATTTAAAGGAGAAGGGTAATAGTAAAAAAAAATTAATTCGATATTTTTTGACGTAGTAAATGGAAGACTTAGAACGGGGCCCGGGGCTATAGCCCTCCTTTTAATCCGGCGCTGCCTTTTTGAACCCATATGCAAAAGAACCTTTTCCCAGCAGTAGTATATAATAGTAATTTTCAGACAGAAAACCGATTATGAAAATATATTTTTACTATCCCCCGATATTCGCCAGTGGTGCTACAATGTTACCGAAAGGTGGTATTATTCCGAAGAGGATCGTCCGTATTTTATCAAGGCGGATAGCCGAGCAGTCAGGCAAGAGCGATACATGTAAAGAATACAGGAGACTCGCGGGACCCACGTTCGGGAATGTCGACTCGTAATATCGAAAATATATTGCCGGTAGTGGTAACCACAAGTCATGTTCAATCGAATGAATCATATGGAATAAAAATAATCCAGCCCATCGGAGACGAAAGGTCCAATAACGTTTCCTCTATCAAACTTGACTGGGTCGATGAAGAATAAAAAGAAGGGTGGCCTTGCCCTCCTTAAAAATGTAGATTGATCCCTACTCAAAAATGTGATCTAGTTCCCTTATTATTTCAAATTTCAAATTTTCAGAATTTCAAAATTTTTAATAGGGAGCAGGTTCCTGTCATTGAAAAAGTGATTTTGGTTTAGTTAAAAATGACTGCTTACATGTAAGACTCAGCCTTTCAAGGGTTAATTTATCAATATTCTTAAAATATATATTCATGTGACGTTCCCAAAAGCAGTTTATACGAGGAAAGGGCCATAGAAAGGAATTGAACTTCAGTGTAGTCGGGTTCCATAAATTTCCATAATAAAGCCAAGCTGTACTTCATAATTGTGTTCCATAAAACATACATAAATCGTTTGATTTATTAGCTTTTACAGGACCATTAAATTACATTTTTTCGCTTTTAACAACGGCCCTCCAAGTGAAACTAGACACATTTATTATGAAACTGCGCCAGTCGACAAGTTCGCAACAGCTGCAAACACGCAATTTAAGGAGCATAAAGTTTTACTTAAAGTTTGTTATGATTTGCAGACGGCCCCATACTTCCGGCTCGTCATTAGAATTACTCCAATTGTAACTCGTAACATTCGTCGTAATTTTAATTGGTTTTTTAAATTTTAATTGGTTCCCAACTATATATGAAAATCTATATAATAGGATTTAAAGATCCACAATAATTATTTCACGTACTCAGAAATATAATATAATTAATAATAACTCCATATCTTATAAATACAATAATCCCTTATTTTATAAATGGTAGTTGATTATCATGAGAGTTTGAAGATTTAATTTTGATCGGTTTAATTAATTACCAATTATTATCAAACGAAATCCAATTTTCTTCTGCATCAAAAATTTCATACTAAAGTTCAATACTGATTTTAATTAATTAGACCCCAATTCCCTATGAGTCCACCAGAAATTTTTCCAGAAACTTTCGATGGCCAGTCCATCTCTGATTAACATCATCATCTAAGGATATAAGAGATAGGAATAGTCAATTAGCAAATGCTGATACAAGGCATCGATACCATCCCTAATACCATCATGTTGCGTAATTGAAATTAGTCTTAGGCGTGTAGACAATCGAGGATTTCAGATAATAACCTGCAGTTAATCTGATTAGTACATTACCTAATAAATGGCCACTGCCTGCCAATCAATTACTACCATCGTATTTAACCATCTGATCGAGACAGACAATTATATCGATTAGGTAATCATGTAAAGTAATGCATGTCAGACACGAAGCAACTAAGCAATGAGTAAAGGGTTAAAACGGTGTCAACCAGGTTTACGAGTTAGCCCGAGTTGGAAGGATGATACAATTTATTTCTACTAACATTAGCTACGCAAAGATAGTTAATTAGGTGGTGCTGTTACCGATGCTAATTAACGGATGCGTTGACGCTAATACAATATACCGTCGTAGCTGGAGGTGAGAGGATTTCGGAGGCAAAGTAACTAACGGTACGCTTGAATTATCCATTAATGGATAGCGTTGCTACAATTCCATTATCCAAGAGATTGCGAATGTTCAAACATTAAAAAGTAAAACTCTCTTTTGTGAAATATTAGTCATCACAAATTTTTCAATTTCAATCGTTATTTGTTCTGTAAAAATGAAACAATTACAATTTATTTTTTCAAGATTAAAATATAAATGTTAGTTCAGGATAGCGATGGGATATTTAGTTACTTTCAAGTATGAGGTATTTTAGTTACTTTTATCTGTAATAAAAATAAAGTAACATAGGACATATGGTATATCAATTTAAAGGATAAAGTATGATGAAAACACACTTGGTCGGTACTTACGAGTATTTCTTTTCTGTTTCAGAGCAAGGACAAAGTACAAACAAGAAAAAGACAACATTTTCGAGACTACTCCGAGGACTAAAGACGCACAGGAAAGAGAAACAAGCGCAAACTCAAGGTTCCCCGAGGCATGGTCGTGCAAGGATGGGTGTACCTCAAAGAGTAAGTGTGTAACGTAATTTCATTTAAACCGGGAGTCAATTTTACGTTCTTGCATAATTTTTATTCAACAGCAATTTAGACTTCGTTCTTTCACTCCGCGCAATTTTTATTATAGTTAAGGTTAATTTTCCACAATAGTTAAAAGTTTGAAAACAAGTGCAGACATGAAACTGATGATTTCCCTCGTAGACACGTGGGAAATTCAGATCACCATTATTTTCGGTTCATTGATAAAGAAACTTGTATGCATCAGCGGAATTCGCCGTTTACCTCTGAGAATTAAAGCTCCTCAAGATTTCCCAAGTGTCGTCGATCGCTAAATTTTTCGCTGCTGACGATCCAGACTCGCGTCTAATTTCATTTATAAACTTTCTCTTCGATGAACACATTAATCGACGTATTTAAAAAAAAAAGATAAGAATTACATTGGTAATTATTATTGTTTCGAATATTTGCAAATATTTTATAATGTCCTTATTATTTTTGTTGTTAGTTTGAATCCTCCATTAATTACATCAAAAAATATTTTATGAAATTTCTTTTACTGTTGCTCTTTTTCTCACAATCAAAAGATTATTTAATTTTATTAAACATTTTTAATTTTTGAACTAAATTTATTACCCAGGAGGCCCTCGAAGGTCTTGAGAATATATATAAAAGAATTCAATAATTTTGTGTGCCCAAAGTAAAATTCAGCCAAATATAATATTATATAATAAATGACGACTTGATACCATAATTTAATATCGAGTTAATAATGGCCATTGACGAAAGCTCACGGTCGATTTACCAACTAACTGCAGTATTTCTTCATCATCCACCGCTTGAACAGGAGTTCCTTTTATCTCTTAGCTAAAACACGACAGGTATATCATCATATGGCGTACGCGGTCCGGAGATCAGACACATAACCCCCCATAAACGGCCACTCAAAGACATTCCTCTCGCTTTGACCTTGGCACAAAGTATCACGAACCTTGATAGTACTTGGAATGAAATTTCCTCGAGAGCCCTCGATAAAGCACTTGTATGCCAGTTGAGCGTCGTTTTCGACTCTCGGCTTCGAAACCTCTGACCGTTCTACGATCAGTAGAACCACTCAACATTGGGCCACAAATTCCATGACTATACTAGAGAGAAGAATCCGATCAGGATGCTGGTGCATCAGCAACGAAAATTCAATTATGCACGGATGATGGAACGAATCGTTGCATGAGCTATGACGAGAGTGCCGCTTCGATGGGGATGATAGGAGAAGGCATTTGATGGCTGAAGATCATCAACATTGGTCAGTCGCCTTTGCAGAGGAGGAAATACCTGACCAATGCTGTCTACTACATAAATTGCCTCTTAACACGTTGATGGGAACTTCTGTTGCAAAACGTGCAAAAACTAATTATTATCCTTCAAAGAGTGATGGATGAGTCAATCATGGCCTAAATCTACGAAACCTCTACTTTGTTAAAATGAGGCGAAAAAAAGATAATATTTTACTTTTCAATCGGTATCTCTAATTTCTTTCAATTTTCATTCTATTATAAAGGATTATTAATGATACTGAACGCAGATGAACTAATGATAATAGTATAATTGAAGGAGAAAGACAAACTGTAACAAGCTTAATGTTTGCAATAAATCTCTCCTGTGTAGATTCAGTCCACCTACCAATAAACATACAGTCATGGACACTATTATTATCGCGAATACTGTCGCCAGGATAACCTACGATCGTACGAGTCGGTAACCACAGTCGGTGCCGCGTCTGGTCGTCTGGCAGGACGGCTGATACCTGTAATGGAAGGTAACCAACGAGTCCTCGTAGGACAGGACAGCGATTCTAACTGAACAGAATATTGCAAACTGTCAACAGTGGTACGTCCGTCCCTTGTCGACACCACTGACCGCACATTGCCGTTCATCTTGTTTCGGCTTGACTGCTGCCAGTAATCCTACTAGCGTCTAACGACAATATCTATGTTCCAGATACCTTACACCAAAGGTTCTGAACTTGGAAAATTCTTAGATATATTTATTCAGAAAATTTAATATAAATTTTCATAAGAAGAATATTAGAGAATTTCAAGCTCTCTTATAATACTTATTATTTTTCACCTCGGTCGTTTCTTCAGGATTGGTTCATTGAAAGCATCTCCTAAAGTTGGCCAGAAAACGTGGCCGGAAACGGTAAGAATTGGAAGCTCGGGTTTCTCCTCAACTTTCACGGAAATTGCTTATCCGCGCTGTTCGTTCCGGCTGTCCATTTTCTTCGTAGAAAGACCGTTTATCCCGCACTCTTCCCAATCGTTCGTGCTCCATCTCCAACACGTAATCAAGGATCGACGGTTATCCTTGCACACGTCGCAGTAAGTCGACTAGGGGGAACGTATTGGTCATTAGTGTTCGCGTCTTTCGTTAGCTCTTTCAACCTGGCTATCCATTAGCGTTACCGCATCACCCTGCCACTTGGATAGAGAACCAACAGTTACGGTACGTTCACCTCGCCGACATTTTTATTTTATTTCTTTTTCTCTTACTTATTACCTAGTGGAATACCAAAGGGTTTAGTTTGAAACAATGAAAGTGCCACAAAATAACACAAATGTCTAATAGTCAGTTGTAGAAAATTTTGATCATTTTCAAAATGTTTAAAGTCTGAGCCCAATTTCAATTCGAAGCTTAAGGGTTGAAATAGAAGTATTAGCAGCTAGAAACATAAATGTAATCCGATGTAACGATGTTAACATCCTATTTACCCACATCCATCAAGTGTGTCCAGTGACTTACAGAGTAAAATCAACGGCGGTCCACTTCCTTTGGTATTCAAATTATTCGTATGTGAACGTGGGTATATCGCAACAGAGCAACGATTCGTGTGATGCAATAGGTTAGGTTACCAGGTCAACAGCTGAGTGTATTTCACGCCCTTCACGACCCTGGTATTAGCATATAAAGCGATTTACTCTGCTTTACTCGCGTTTCAGAACGCCGTTCTGTAGATTACTTACAATTTAATCTTTTCTGTAAAGCGATCAAATGATTTGCTATACGTATACTTAGAGGAATGGCTTCTTATAATGTGACAAATATTGTTAAATTGAAAACAGTACGTGTCCCAAAATAAAAAAATATTTTTCACTATTTCATTTTATTTCCAGTGATAGAGATTCCATTTTTATTATTTATTTAATTTATAATGGTATCAAAAGAATGTCACCGAAATGGTATCAAAAATTTTATTTCCTTGCCTTTACTTTTTCATATTTCATGAAAGACTTAAATATTGTAGAAGATATTCTTTCCCTGGCGGATTGCAACCTCGACAATACTTCATAAATGTTTCAAGATCCAAAGGAGAATTTACGGTTGCGCAGAGTTTTACGAATTCAAAACGATACAGCGTTACCGACTTTTCAGAGACGGTTTGTAAGAATGTGAAATATTAAGCAGGTTCTTTTTGATGAGACTCCTATTCCAAGATTCATAAAAAATATTACTATCTGACACAGATTTAATATACGGAATTCATGGAATTTATTATTTACCTAACTTACACTATCTGTTAATTAATTTAATTAGTACTCGTATCATTATACATACTCTTCATAAATTATAAAAATTATTTAGAAAAAATATTAAGTACTTTCTCCAGTACCCCTCAAAGGGTTAAACGAAACGCTCAAGGCTCCCTCGTACCCCATCTATAAAACAACCATGACAATTTTGGATACCAACATAAAAGGGTTAAGGTTGCATCGCCCCATAAAGAGTTTGACGAGTAATTACAAAGCGAAGATCCTTCAAAGGAACAACTAATCCCTCGTCCTTCCTCTGAAAAACGAAAAATTGTTTATGATGCGGCAATTAATTTGTTTCACCGACCACGAATCGACGGCGACGCGTTGAAAAGAGCACGAACGCGTTCAAACGAACCGTCTAGACAGTCCGCAATCGATCAACCCCACTTTAGAGAAATCTCACCGTGGAAACGACGTCGCATGAACCACGTGCGTGCAGAATCGTGTGCGCACTCTGTTTCGAGCCTGTCAAGAAGTCAACACAATTCCAAAGTATATGTATATATATATATATATAGTATATTTTTTTAAATCGACGCTACATCCGGGGTACATTTACTAATTAGAACGAACCACTTGAAAAAAAAGAGTTTGTTCTTCCTCGTCGATTTTCCTGTGTGCCACGTCGTTGCTCGGAGAAGAAAATTACAGGGACCGTGACATTGAGACTTTCAGTGGAACGCAACGAGTAAAGACAAAGAAGGAACATGAATAAAGATAGAGATAGGTGGAATGGAAAGGCGAGGAGAGAAAAAGAGAGAGGCAGCCATTCTGTGAGCTTTGAAAAGGTGACGAAGACGCGAAGAACGAGGCTGAAGAAGGATAGATAGAGAAAAGAAAAAGAGTTGAAGGGACGACGAGGATGATGTACTATATCGATCGCACCTGAAACACCCACCTTTTGCTGCCGTGGTCTGGTCGCGTCGCTCTCCTTTTTTTTCTCTCTCTCTCTCCTCTCCTACCCCCTGTTTCTTTCTTTTCTACCCCACGTGCAACGTGCATCGATGGAAACACTGGCAAGTACCGGATCCTCTTAGCACCCCCTACGTACCAAACGATCTTCGGCACAGGGTATTTCATAATTTCTTACCGGCGAGTGTATATTTCTTAAACGATTTTTCCTTCGAAAAGATATCGAAGTTCAGAGATACAATTGTGAATTTTCTGAATTAGAAAATGTCAGACGCGTTAGTAGATAAATAATCCCCCTTTATCTTCATCCCTGAATCCTAAAGCATCGGGTACAAGTGATCGAAACAGTTTCGCAGAGCAACAGCAGGATAGGGTTTACAGTTGTACACAGTACAATCTTGCGTTATCGCAACTATTTGTCCACAAGTGACCAATAAAGCCGACGAACGCGGTGTCGATTTTATTGTCCAAACGAATCCCTTTCTCACCCTAGAATGTCCCTGTTTCAAGCTACCTCGTATCCCTAGGACACGATAGTCGCGAGAATATCCCGGGCTCCGGTGTCCAGGAACGGCCTCTAGGCAATGCATTTCAATGCACCGACAGCCTGCACACTTGCTTCCCCTGTCTGCTGGTTTGCTGCACGTTCCTAAGTGATTCCGGATTGGCGCGCTAATGACTGTTTCATATTCATTGGATAACGCAACGCTACCACCCTGCTGGGCATAGGTTACACATTGCTCTTGCTTTATCGCTTCTGCTCCGCTTTCATAGTCTTTCACGGCAATCTTCGGCTCTTACATCCTGCGGACGATTAATTCTGCCTTTGATTACCCACTCTTCGCGCACCAATCGTTGATTAACGATTGCAAATCGGGGATACTGTTGTATGTAATTAAAGTGGATCATTTAACCCTGGGGTACGTTGCATAGTTTAAGTAAAAATACTGATACATAAGGATTCAGTATCAGTGGTATTCGTTAGCAGTGAAGAGAGGTGATGCGGTTTCTTCAGTGGCGAGTACTATCCAATGCTTTGAGTTTTACAATGGGTCGGTTTCTTACCGCGACAAGATGCCCGGGCCGTATTTTCGAGTCTGCTTAATTAAACAAGATATCAGAGAGCGTTTGTAGGGCCTCCGACGGGATCCTTTTCAATCCTTTCGTTACCTTTCCCCCGTTTTCTCGCCCTTTTTCTTGCAGAGCCTCTTGCTTTCTTCCACTGTCGCTCTTCTCTACTGAACTCTTCAAGTCGAACTCTTAGCCAACCTTTTCACGTATACGTCTCCTTAACGACGACTTCTTTCCCCCTTTTTTTCGATATTCCTTTCTCCACCTTTGCTTTCAATTTTATTTTAATTCTACTCGTGATTTCTATCTCGATTGCTTTTTTTTTTTTAATATTTCTTAAAATTCTGACGATACGAATGCAGTCTCGGCGAATAATTATTCTTGGGAAATATTTTTTTATTTTTGATACTTACATATAAAGGGAATTGTAAATGGGTTCGTCGTTATATTTAACTGATTGTAACGGTGTACAATTCTATTTGGTAAATTTCAATTGAAACGAATTCACTTGCAATTTTAACGCGCGGAAGCAACGAATTCGAAAGAATAATTCATTGATTGCACGTTTCTATGCCTTAACGTTTAAAACCGCTGATTGCCGATAAAAGCGCGGAACGCAAATGAACTGTTGCGCGTAAATTATACGGTTGAGGGTTCAACGCGTTAATTTATTACTGAATTACGTGCAATTTAAATGCTTTGCGTCGATCATGCGTACGTGCACAGCTTGCTCTAGAATCGATTTCGGCAAACTGCTAGCATTGCACGTGTACGAATTCGTAATCGAACCATCGATACGATGATACGTATTTGTAATAAATAAAGACAACCTGATGTAAGTATCGCCATGAAATTTCAAGATTTTCCATGAATTTTGTAAAAGAAAAAAATTTGTCAGAGAGAAGATCCTCGTGGATCGCAGTTTCTACTATGTTACGTAAATAATATTTATAATGAAGGTACCAGTTTCTAATTATCGAATCTCTTAATTAACTGTACTGTCGTTGACCTGAAATTGAACAGAGAAGTGTCTCGCTTAAATGGTTCAAACTTTAATTAAACTAGTTGCAACCAATTACACGTCTATTATTCTCCAAGTCATCTTGCTAGAAATAAACTTTCGTTGCAAGATCCTCTGTATCCATATTTTCTGTGCAATATGATTCTGAAATGATACACATACACCGGTAAGAAATAATAATAATAGAAATTTATGATAACAGGTAAAATTGGTTCTGTAAATTGGACAGCTGAAATGCTGGAATATCGAGACACTTAAGTTACATCTTGTTCTCAATTTTCTGTAGATTTTCTATACGAAGTACAAGAATTATTGTTAACATAATTAGGCATAAATACCTTTAACCCTTCAGAATTGAAGTCTGAGTCAAACTGCAAAATATCCACAAAAATTGTTCTATTTCCAATGTTCTTTTCCATTTTTATTTGAAAAATCCAACATACTGAAACTTTTTAATTAAACCCCAGCTTCCATTCACTTTTTTTCGAATGATCTGCCAAGTTGTTATCTTTTGCTGTATATTATAATAAATGTAAATTTCTAGATTTATGTTCTATCATCTGAGAATCAATATTGCACTAGAGTTCGGTGACGACACCGAACAAGAAACTATTGATGGAAATTCAAAGTTACACACTAGTGTCGAAAGCCATTAATTGCATTAATTGGAGTGGATGTATTGATGCAAACAAAGTTGAAGATACTGGAATATTTGTCTAACATGTTCGACCCTTATCATTAAATTGTACATGTATTTTTGAGACACCCTGTATATACCACGTCGACAATTTTCCCAAATGCACGTCAATGTCACAATGCCTAATTCGTCAGACGCTTCGTGAGACATTAACACGAGCTGTCGCGACGCCACGTTGTGGAATCGAGTTTTATTAGGTAGTTACGATATACACACATACTCTTCAACGTCTACGTAGTTTCGGTGACGTTTGCAGGGATTACCTTCATCCCTTTGGTAAATAGAAACCACTGCCATGGTTTAACATCACGTGTCAGCTTCTTCGCAACAGCGTACGCCTTAGGTATGCTGACAACGCCATACTTATTGTTACGAAGTAACAAAGGAATTCGTTGTTAGAAAATCCGAACTTTGCCTCCATATGAGCTCTAATCAATTTTGCAATTTTTTTTTTTAATTAAAAATGGTATTTTGAGATATTTGGACGATTGTAATTGATCCTATGTAAATGATTAGAAAATTAATTACAAATATTTAATTTAATATTTTATTTTATGAAATAATAGATATTTGAACATTGTTGCATTTCTCCTTCTCGGAAATGTTTCCCCGTACCAATTCCATACCAGAAGACAAATTTTCCGCTTAAGATCACTCCCTTCCGAAGGATGCTCTTTATAAATACTTGGAACGCTTCAAGTTACATAGCCAAAATACTCCAGTTTCTGTCTTAATTATTCGGCTAATGAAGATCGGAATGTTGACTCCTTGCTACAAGTTTTTTCAATTATTTTCCTGGAAACCATTTCACTTTAATTACTGCCTTGATATTGCATCAAATAAAACATAAATAAGAAAAGTAGATCAAATTGAAAGTTATTATTTCATAATTTTTCACGACTTTTATAAAGTAATAGATTATTTAAAGATAATTAAAATTGTTTCGATGCTGTTTTGGAAAATTGAAATAACGTTGTATCCCCTTGTTTGTCAATGGCAGGTGGATACACCGGATAGTGTACTGCAAAGTGGATTGGGACTAGGACCAGACATGGGACACACGATTCTACGTTCCATGGTGGATCCACGGGATTACGACCGATTACGATACCTTCAGATGAACGGTGGACAACCAAACAGTTTCGAGGAAACTATACACAGGGTATGTTAATAGAAATAGCAAAATATTGTGAAAATAATATATAAAATCATTATTTTAATGGGACATATATGGAACATGCATTTTCTACAAATTTTCCGGAAAATAGAAAGTTTCAAAAATAAAAATAGAGTACCTCGAAAATCACAGTATGGAGCTGACACGCGTATAGGATAAAAAGTTTTCGAACAACTTTCCAGGTCAAAAGGGTTAAATTATATTTATACACCTTGCGTCTAGTACCGCTATTGAAAACTTTTCCTTTTAACGAATGGAAAGTCATAAACAGATTCGGGTCAGGAGAACAGAATTGTTCTTTATTTCATTCTTGAAACACGGTTAACACGTTGTGAGGGTCAGTAGTGAGTGGTACCACAAATGTAATACAGTGGAAAAAGAATCATTGTAAAATAAATCATTATTCATAATTAGGTACTCATTTATCTCAATAACGATTAATTGATTAATGATTATAATTACCATGACCACTTTCAGTAAGCAATTATAAAAGTAATCAATTACTGTCTGCAATAATTACGTATTACCAAACCCAAATTTTAATTAATTACACGTATAGGGTGTCGAACCACATTTAACGTGTTAATTAGAGTCGAATGAAAGGGGTCTACAACCCCAGGCCCCATTTTCCTGGAGCCTCCATTCTTAGCCTTCCATTTATTATCAGTTCTTGGCGTTAATCTATTTTTTTTTTTTTTTCTTACCTTATTTTAGGATTGTTGGTCAGTTCAGCATATATATAGGTCTTTTTTACCACTTTGTATTTTGCAGCTGAAAGTTCAAGAGGCACTGAGGAAGAAGGAGCGATTTCATAAAGAACACGAAGAGGTGAGTGCAATTTAAAGTTTGAACTTACTTCCCTACATTTTTTTTGTTTTAATTTACTAATGAAATTTTATTTACACGAATGTGAAGGGAAGAATGTGCGAGGGAGTGTATTTAGAAAGGAATTTAATAAATTCAAGCAATAATCTTCACAATCTTTTTAAACAAATTTTTTATTGAAAAAATTCAAATAATTACACTTATTCTTTGTGTATCACAAATAAATATTTATGAAATAAAATAACTGTAATCATATAAGAAACAGGCATATCTACAGGGTGACCCATTTTACTGTATCAACTCAATTATCTCTTGAATTATTTGTTTTTCAAAAAAATATTCATATAATTTTATTTTTTTAAATAAGAACGTTGAAAATAACTGGTTTCCTTAGTTTACACCAAGCTGAAATATTCTTGGGACAATTTCCTTGATCGTACACGATAACTGTGAAGGAACCTATCACGATTAAACCAACCTGTGCAGCAGCTCATTTATTTCCCTCCTTCAATTCCGTAGCGCGTTCCCTGGATCATCGACAACCCTGCTCTCGTCGTTCAACCAATATTAGCTCTGGAAGCCAATGGTTTTATCCGATACAAAGCTCCCCCTGCTTTTCCAACCCTCCAATCCGAGATTCAACGAAATTCGCACAGCAAGAAATTTGCATGTGTACGACTCTTACGTCGTTCTACTTGTTCCTTCGTCTTTTTCGATCATTTCTTAACTATCCGTCTTACGCCAACACGATGCCTCTTATTATGCAAAACAGCCAGATCGAGACCGAGATCATCATAATCGTCAATGTGTATTACGATGTTATGCTATGAATTTTTTATACTGCCTCCGGCGAAACATTTTCCTTCCTCCTCCTATTTTTCCCTAAGCTGTTTCCTTTCTATCGATTTTCTTAGGTAAAGGCGTTTGGATTATACTATGGTTATACGTGTACTAAAATTTTAAGGTTCCAAAATTTCAAAATATTCGATTTTCCGAATTCCAAAAGTTTATCGTGTGCGCAAAGATTTTCATGAAAGATTGTAATAGATCGAATTCTTCTTATCAAAGAAACGAGGAAAAGGAATGATCCCTTGTATTAAAATAAACTAAATGTATAAAGGTAAAGTTAAATATTTTAATTGCTGGAAACTGACGATTCGATGCGTACATACGCGAGAAAAGCTAGCCTGTCCTTTCAGAGAAATTTGAAGGTAGTGAAAGGGGTCTCCCAGAAATTGACCGAAACTGCTTGCTCTTGGCCGTAGGCTAGTCAGACAGGCAGAAAAAGACAGGAAGAAATAAAGCGGAGAGTTTCCTTTGAGGCTGCGAGCAATATGGAAATAAAGGTCGGTATCCGTGTAAAAGTTTTAGTGTCACTTCTACCTCTGTGGGTTTACTGCTCCCTAGGGATGACCCCCCCCCCCCCCCTTTTTCTTTCCACCCTGTTCCTCCACCTTCTATTTTCTCCGCCAAACGGTTGACTTCTACTTTGCTGCACGAGAAACTGCGGGATAATCCCGTGGACGACCACCTCGTCATCGTCCTTTCCTTCTCTTCTTTCTTTTATTTTTCGCTTCTTTTACCTCCTTAAAATACATACAATTAATGTAATATTATATACACGAATGTTATATCGTTAGATTAATTGGCAAATTTCCAATAATTAAGCAAACAAATGCATCCCGCTTACCAGTTAATTGACTTCACAACTTTTGCCAGAGTTTCAATAATAATGATGTAATATCACTTCTGGTAAATTAATATACGCTTTTGATCCTGTTATCAGATGAACGTTCATTCACGCTCCCGTTATTGTTCTGTTTCAGATACTAAGGGACATCCGGCAAGGTTTAATGCAACTCGGACGGGACGGACGAGGTCACCTCCCTGGAGGTAAGTACATCAAGTAGTGTAACCTCTGGCAGTTAACTACAGTCTAGCTAGTTGTCGCCTTGTCTCTCCACAATCTATATCCATCCTCCTTCCACCAACCCTTCTACTTAGTCTTCCCCCCTTGTGTGAGAGCTTCTGTCAGGAGTATGCCGTGTATCTACCTTGAACAAAACGCGCACGTGCCATCCGTAGCTGAGAATTGACTCCCAAATGCCTGACAGTTCGTACGTTTCTTCACACCCTCCAGAGACTCATTTCGAATGTTCCTCCTCTGATCCTTTCCCTCGTAGTTTTTTTCACGAAATCTCATTCCCTTGGAACAGAATTATCCTGCGAACTAAGGGACCTTAAATGACTGGAATATTTGGAGAAGTACCATTTTTCGGTCGTTAGGTTTACCTTGTAACGGCTGGGACACGGTGTAATTCGTTGGAAATGTATAATCAGGGAGTAAGATAAGCATTCGTTAGACTTAGGCCTGGTTTACATTGGTAGGAAAATTCCGTTTACTCATGGAAATTGTATTATTATATTTACTTTAATTGTTGGTGGAGCGATGCAATATTTCAAAAGAGTAATTCCTATAAAAAGGACAAATTTATTAACCCTCCGACCGCGGACCATGGAGAGAGCTCCAATTTTTAATATTACTATTATTTTCTAAATTTTACGTTTAATTAATAAATCTTTCGTTTAAAAATGATACATTTAAATTTTGATCACGATTGACCCAGACTGTTCAAGGATTAAATTTTCATATAAGAAATGGTATCAGTTATTGTCTCGTCTAGAAGAATAAATCAGATTTGGAAAAGATCGAATAAAGTGTCAGGCATAATGTCTCGGGCACCCTTTAAATTTCGTATTACCGATTTATCACTGAGTCAGCGACTTTATTTGCGATTGCGTCGTTCAGAAAAGCTGTAGCTTTTCTACGAAGCCCCTTCTATATTCTGGCTAATCTTGTTATCGTCAACACCCATTGACTGCTTTCTCCACGACTCCCATTCCCAGTCCCTTCGTTTCATCTTGCGCCCACACGCATGTGACTGGTGATCCTCAGACAGTTCATTTCGTTCAGTCTTTCGCACCAACGATACTCGAGGTCTTCTCTCGCCTCTCAAATTACCTTAAGCCTGATTTACATTGCTGGAGTAAATGATGCAAATCATGCGACTCTATACTTTGCTCCTTTATTTTTTATTGAAGATCGTTTGAAAGCAAACGTGGTACTGCTATCATATTAAAAATAAAATATTTTTTAATTTATAGATGACACTTATATGTATGACGAAGACGCGCGTTGCGGAGGAATAGGTCCAGGTCCTGGAGGACAGCACTGGTATGACGAGCCTCCTTATGAATCAGACCCTGAAGATTTCCTTATGGGTGCGAGTGGAGGTCCAGTGCCAACTGCAACTATTCAAAATGGAAGGTAATAAAATACCATTTAAAATGGTACATTTTTATCTCTCTTTTCCCCTCCAACTGAGAATTTGAAAGCTTGAAAAATTTTCCACCCCTTCAGCCCCGTCTGCGGCAATGCAACAAGGGTCTACTGTACTACATCAAAAAGATTATCCGATTTTGTAAAACTTGCTAACATGAAAAGTATTGTTCTGTTTCAGAGTGTGCTTCACGTTAAATTTGAGGCCCGAGAATCGAGGAGAAGGTATAATTTCCCTTCGGACTGCCGGGGACATCAGCCTTCCACGTGATCGATCCAGAAAAGGGGCAACTTCGACGATGCGAGGACTTATTGTACCACAAGGTCACAATAACCCACCGACTATCATACCGCTTACACATTCTAGAGCCTCTCGAGAAAGCGGGGATTACGCTAGCAGTGATGTCCAGGTAAGTTCTTCCATAAATCCACCCTCAAAACGAGATCAGATATGTTCTTATCACACGAGTGATAAGTGATGTGGAGACTGACAACTACTTTCTGATTTGAGATCTTCACTATTACACCTGAATGTCTTTATGATTAATACTGCAAATGCTCGTTCTGAAACACTTGACTAGGTTTAAACAATCCAGATAAAGTTGCAACTTTTTACTTATTATTTTTAAACTGCAGGGTGAATCTTTTTTTATTTTGATAGAATTATTGGAATGAGAAAAAATACTTTTGAATGAACTTTTTTTCTCGTTACTTTATACAATTTTTCGTATTTTTGTATGTTTAACTCAGTTGATTCTAATGACACACCAGGTGCGTCTTGGAAAGAAATTAAGTAGATTTTCTAAGTTGATTATATATCTTCAGATTCACTCTGTATTTATTGAATTGACACTTTCGTCGCTAATACTTGGTCCACCCTGTATAATCACTAATTTTTAATTAATTATTTCATTCGTCCTATATAAGGAAGTATAACATATGGGGTATGAGTACCAATGACATATGGCTTCCTTTGTTTCTGTTTCATTTATTTTTATTCGTTATATGTATATTTCTCTCCTTATCTTCTAAACAGGTGTCAAAATCAATAATACTTATAAATGTATGGCACAATGTAATTTATTCAATTTTCGAAGGACAAGGTATGAACTTAAGACTGTCGACTATGTCGGTGGACATAAGTAGGAACCACGAAATTCTAGCAGATGGTTTTTACTCTGATCATCAATGATGTAACAAATCATTACTATAAACACCATCAACACTACTGTCATTTCGAACAACAACACTTTAATTAACTCTGAATCAATTACTGCTGCTACAATCTTGCCACCACCGTCGATTATTGTAATCTACCAAATGTCTATGCTTACAAATCATAAATATCCCCTAAATGAAAAAGAGAAAAATCGAGGCCATTAATTTCGAAATTGTACAAGTCCAGCAATTAACATTTCGTGATTACCGTACGAGGGAAATGAAATTACATAACCATGAGGTGTTGGCCTAAAAGACCGAACCGTACGAGGATTGTGAAAAAAATCCAATTCAATCAGACTCGAAGCAATTCACTGCGATCATATGCCTTGATATAACTTTCTGTTTGCCTAATGAAACAGAAGCAGAGCCGCATACTAATCCATTTACCCGGCTGCTCGTACGCAATGCCTTTGTGGAAACTTACGTATGGGTTAGGACTATTACGCTTTTATGACCGTATGCGTCGGGAGAACAAACATCAACATCTTCGAGCCACGGAAGCACGAGATTTCTCCAGATTAGATGCATACCCGTGCACCGGAGCGTCTGGTATTCATGAATATGGATTTTTCGTGCCAGTTAGCCTGTACGCCATCAAGGCTTTCGTTCCTACTGTGGTCTTGCCGTACCACCTTTTAACAAATCTCCATCTTTATCTCTCGAATTCTGCTCGAATATAGACTGGCAACTGTGTAAACTAACACAGTCCAGGTACACGTGTATCTAAGCGAGCTAAACGATACGTACCTTTCTCTGTCGGGTACGCTTAACGAACCGAACGCAACGAATCGAGGTTTGCGAAATTCTGCAAATCGAGTCCTTGTTCAAATACGAACGCTTAATCGAACTTTCGTTTAACGAGAATATTCTTTAACACTCTCCGAGTCGCACCTTTCGATAGAGGTTGGAGAAAATAGGTGCGAAAGTATTAGATTCCATAGAAAAAGGTCAATGATTTCGTGTCAATTTGAAACTTAAAATATGATAAAAGTGATTACGTGAACTTTTTGTTAATGTTCTATTTTTGATGAATTATTTCATCCCCTGGTTGCAAACAGATTTATTATTTTATACAGCAATGTGTAATCCTTCATTTTCACTCATTTTAAAGTACGTTTGGAATGTGATTAAACGAAGTAAAGTTTTTTTTTACACTACGTCGGGTTTACCGGCCACGTTTCATAAAGTTTACAGTAAATGGCTGAGAATACAACTTTCTAGAAATTTAATTCAAACTTTTGGAACGTCTACTACGCTGCTCTCAATTTCTGCTACGCCTTATAGCGTCTTATATCGCTCTACGTTATTAACAATATATCAAGAGTTTGTACATAAAGGCATACGTTCAATTCGCTAAGGAATGCTGGACTTAAAGTGTTTCTTCCAGGCATGTTTTGATGAAAATTTGATCTATCTTATCACGAGTTTCCTGTTACTATAACGTAATAGGATTCTTTCTAATCCGGTATCGCTTATTTATTTAAACCGTTATAAGAAAATAATAGAAGAATTCAATGAAGGAAATAAATGAAGAGAGACCCAGTTTTAATTTAATTTTATATTTCATATTATTAATTACAATGATTAAAATGATATTTTATTTCGAACAAAATTCCAGACATCGAGGGAAAATGTGATCGATTTGGCGTGGAATGATCCTCAGACGTTCAGAGTCTGAAAAAAGATAAATCGATATTTTATTATATATTTATTATATGAATCCTGAAATGAAACCCAATCAGAATCACAGAAACCACTTAAAATACCATTAGTTAATGTTACTTTTTATTTTCAAAGAATTCGTAGCATGCACACATATTTTTGGGCTGATCTACGTACGTGCACGTATAGTAACTATCTTTAATATTTATGATCCACATTGTGACTTTGTTTTGCTGTTATCTCGATCTACACTACTACTATATATCCATGGTATTCTTTCCACGTTTAATTTTCATCTAGCTTACCTTTCGTAACGACTAATCACCTCTAATAGCATTACGCGCTACTAGATCGAATTTAGAGCCCGCTTATCCTTTAAATATGCGTGAATTAGAACTGTCTCTGCGAGTATCAACGTTTTAGAGCCGGAGTAGCGGCGAGGAAGGACTATCACCAAGCCAAAGCAGCGACTACGAGGAACAAGAAGAACTTGAGAATCAACATTCGGCCGCCGTACACACAGTACGTGTCATATACAAGTTCTCCTTTCACGAGTGTCTTCCTTTCTCTCTAGTTCAGGTATGCACAGCGAGTAGTGAGGCGGGCACGGTTGCCCGCGGGCACTGCGGCAGGCTACACTGGCTAAAAAGTTATTTAACACATTCTGGACTAAATTACATTGATGTAGCAAGTAGAAAGGTATTCCAGTACAATTAGTAAAATTTTGTGGGTCAATGATGTGATTATTAACAAAACATACTGATTTGGAATGTGTTAAAAATAGGAAAATTATTCATCAGTTTCGCCAGGTTATATAGTCTAGTCACATTCAAATGGTTGACTATATGTGACCCTCGTCATCCTATTTCTATACGTTATCAATCATTCCATTCCCATCATCTAACGGTAGCCCTCAATTCAGCAAACCCGTGCCCGCAAACAAGCCCGACACATGGGCATCCCGCATGGGAGACTTTGTGTGCATGCCTGCTCTAGTTACTTATCCTCTGTGTTGTACTAGTACAGTGTCCCATGATCGTGGTTATTTCAAGTGCAATTCATACCATTAAATGTCGTGGAAAAATGCATGTTACTTGGTTGATGGCAATGTAATGTCGGTTTCAATGCTTTTTAACTCGCTATAATGCTATAATAACTTATAATATGATTTGAATTATTTAATTCGCTAAATAATTAAAAATTAATTAGAAAAAGAAATGTGAAACTTTGCAGTATTAAAAATATTTTATTATCATACAAAATATATAAAAAGGGTTAAACACTTTGATACCTACAGATTCTGCACGCCAGAACGAATCGAAAAGTCCTTTACCGTTTTTCGATACACAGCTTCGTTTTCGAGATATAAGGGTTTAAAAGTTGCTTTTCCAACTGCAATGGCGACCTTGTTCGGTGCTCAAGGCGCATGCGCAGTAGATCGCGCGAGCAGACTACGTACTTATGCTGAGCGCCGTACGACCAGCGCTCAGTCTTCCATTGCTATCTCGAGAACGAAGTCTCGCATAGCAAAATGGTAAAGGACTTTTTTATTTGTTTTGGCATAAAGAATATAAAAATCTAATTGTAAAGAATACAAAACCGACATTACACCACCATTATTTCAGCGTAGTCGTAATTATGTCGACTTTTAGAAAATCCGCGTGCACTTAGATTTAAAACACTTTTTTCTTTCTTTTTGATTAATTATCTTGTCTATCTGGTGGGGTAAGTAATCTTTTAATACTATTGGTGGTTATCTTCACTCATCTGAAAAATCCATAACGTTTCCACTCGTTTTCCTTCGATGATTTTTTACATGAGTGAATCTAAACTTCAAACCAATTCAACGATACCCAAATCAATGTGTAAAATACCGTTAGAGCCAAATGCATGCAAGCTTTGGTCGTTAGTTGGCGTCGATCGAATAAAACTGTCTACTTTGCTGGATCGTACTGTATAGTAACGTTTCGTTGAGAATGTACACACCAAACGCAAAAGTAGACGCTTATGTACATTATCACGAGTTATACAATCACAACACGTGCGAGTACACCACCGACAAGTCGACAATGACGTCACGCAGCCTCGAAGATGAGGTTCATCGGCTCCTCTGTGAATCTTCCACGGTCGTGCCTTACGTATAATCGTTGCATGTCCTTGAATCTTCACCGAACAATATTTCGAATTACAGAGAAAGGTTCCAGTTTCCTTTTGTATAAATACTTTATCGATCACCTTTGCATCGATCGAGGAACAACGCGAAACGATAAAATTTAACGCGGTGTTGACATTTTCAGTCGGAAGCTAGCGCTCTACTCGAGGGCGAAAATAGGGCGGGAATTGCAGGCAGGGCAAGAAACTTGAGGCACGATGTGCAACGCAAGATTTCGAGGCTCCGCCAGGATCGCACCTCCTCAGAGGCGTTTCCATGTAGCGCCAGCAGCGTCGAGAGCCTCCCCAGCGGCAGTGGTTCTAGCACACAAGCACTTGTGCGTGCGGGAAGCAATCACAGTTCGATATCTTGCGAAGATAGGGATGCTGTCAGTCCGAGCTCCATTGGTCCTGTGCTGTGCAGAGCTAGAGCTCTGGTAGACTATACGCCTAGTCCTTACGATAAGGAGGCGTTGAAATTCAAGGTTAGACGCGATATTTTTAATCGTCCTTTAACAAAAATCCCATATAAACGTTCGACCCAAAGATGCCTAATTAACTACACATTTCTTGTTAATAAATAAAAAGATACCTAGGAAGGTTTGAACGTTCGTTTCTTCTTTCTTCGAAAGTTCTTAATGCAACAAGACCCGATTGGCTCGGTATAAAGAGAAAGGCTGAAGACTCGTGGATCAATTTTTCAAATTACAAAGTGGAAGAAGTTGTCGAGGAATTTTTCACGCGTAAAGGTTCGGGCAAATTGCAAACGCGGCTTTTGTTACAGAAGGGAGACATCATCGACGTGGTGCAAATGAACAAAAGCGGTCTGTGGAAGGGTGTCTTGCACAACAGGATAGGCCACTTCAAGTTCATAAACGTCGAGATACTGAACGACAGAGTTCCAAGGCGCGGTGAACCCGAAGGGCGGGGAAAGTGGGGCCAGAGATACAGGCAGAAGCCTGGTTCCGTTCAAGAGCTCTTGCAGAGAATGAATCTTCAGGTAGAGAGCAATATCTTGCCACGGCTCGAACAAACCGATTCGCATTTGCATCGCTTCGAATGCAAAGCAGGGAAGAACTTGCTTTTATATGTTTCTTTATTTGCTGGACCTCTTCCTTTTCAACCATATACCCACCACCATCTTGTCCTGCGTACCCCTTTTATACCGCCTACAATCCGACGCAATTCCATGGATCGTGTTGAGTTCCTCTTTTTTTTTTTATCGACACTTTCTTCCTGTACCTTTTCCCTTCTATCTTACTCTTCCGATTCTTTACTTATTTGTCGGTATCTTTTTTTTTTTAATGGCGTCTATTTGGTTTTCTATAAAGGCTAATGGATTTATCAAGATTTTGTACGTAACTGCACTTGAAGAATATTTAAAATAATTTAATACAAATGTCGTTGCTTAATGGATTTTTGTTCGAGTGACAGGCATGCAAAGATTAAATTAGGTCACGTTAGCAAAGGTATAATACAAAAACGAATGTAATATATCTTCTCAGGAACACATTCCTGTTTTCGTATTGAACGGGTACGAAGATCTCGAGCTCTTCAGGGAAATAGAGCCCTCGGATCTTGATTATCTGCGCATACATCAGCCGGAACATCGTGCCAAGATACTCACCGCTGTGCAACTATTACATGATCTTCAATGTAAGTTGTTTTTGCATTGAAACGTATTACACTTTATCCTAGGAAATTGTCTATGCGAGTCGAATGAAAAATTATCGCCAAATCATTTATCTTCTACGAGATGAAACAATTTTGTAATATCGCAACGGATACGATAGAAATGGGTTCCTCTTATTAACATCAGGATTAATCCGATAGCAATCAGGCGGCAATAAAGAGAATTTCTGAAATATTAAGAATCCCAAATTATAAAGTGAGTATCTGTTCTGTCCAACAGCCGGAAGCGAGGGTGACTTAGCGTCAAGCTCGGAGGGCGACGAGGTGAATCGACTGGTGTTAACATCTGGCCAGACATCCGGCCATTGTTCACCGTTTAATCGTCGCCAGTTCCCACGGGATTCTGGATGTTACGACGCCCACAAGAATCTCACTGGTCGACGGACCGTGAGCCCAGAATCTTCAACGGCCACCAAAGTGTCCAGGGAGAACAACCTGGACGTAGCGGCGCCGGCGAAAAACGTGACCGGTGTCAACACCGATGGTAGCCAAGGTTCCGATAACAAAGACGACTTCCATCCGAACATACCCATCAGTTACAACGTCGTTCCCGGTCAGAAGGAAGGTCAATTCGACAAATCCCCGTTGCTCCGCGGAGGGAACGTTCGGTTCATCGCGAAGAGGGGCAACTTTGGCGAGACAGTGGTGATCGAGGATACCTGTGAAAGTGGACAAAAAGTCGGCGGTATGGTAAAGTACGTGGTCGGAAGTAACGACCTTGGCCTCGAAGGTAGCGGCACGGTAACCGGTCTCGGTCAGAGAAGTTGCCTCAGCGAGAAATCCAGCGATTCCGGTGTCAGTTCATCGAGTATCAGCTCGGCACCTCCGCTAAGAGACAAAGTTCTTGCGAACGTCGCCTCTGATTCACCTGCTAAGAACTTTGGTAATTTCACGAAGGCGTCGCCGACCTCTCAGCCAGCTAATAAGAGTCAGAGCAGCGATGCTAGTTACCAGTGAGAAACGATACCAGTGACGTGCTTAACGAAATTCAGGAAAATCTCGGCAACCCTTTCCTTTGCGTTCCATCCTCTTTTCGTTAATCTTCTACTTTGATCGTAAGTATCTTGAATTTTCTTTTGATCCTTCGACACCGAGTCCGGTTGGACTGACGATGGGTTAGGTATTTCGTACCAGGACAACGATCGAAATTCTTTGCAGCAAGGGGTAACGTAGGATATCATTCAGGAGTCAAATAAAACGAAAGCAATAAACATTTATGAATTAATTAAACTTGGTATTTTTGCAGTAATTAATATTCATGCTTGAATGTATGAAATGTTCCAAATTGTGAATACTTTGTAGACAGAATGTAAGATTGCTTTTGTTTATCGTTTCATCAGATGCAAGAAAAAGAATGGCATCTTAAAGTACGTGGAATCAAAAGGAATATAACGAGGTGCCTTGCCATCCTTTGTTGCCTTAACGATTCTTTCTCCTCGTTAGTCTATAACCAAAAGTATGCTGCTACCTGTTCTTTAGCGAGAATTCCAACTTCATTTCTCTCATCTGAAATCGGTCTTGTACTTCATTATTCTTGTCCTGAATTTTTTACGAATCGCGGTAAAAGAGGTACAAAGAAAAAGAATAAAAATTTTTTTTTTCTTTTTTTAAGCAGTTTTAACGAGGATGTAAGCAAAGTTTCTCGACTTTTGTACTGTGTACGAATTGAAAGAATTCCATTGAAGAGAAAAAAGGAAAATGTAAATCACGGTCATTTCATGATCTCGTCTATCGTTTTCAACGCTCGTGTAATTAATGATAATAATAATATGTGATAAGGTAGTATATACGCCTGCATAACGTGTAAATAGATTAACAATTAACGAAAATACAATCACGTTCGTGGTTTATTGCAAAAGACGTTTAACGAAAATAATTGGGGAAAAAAGACTCGTTGAACCGTCAATTTAATTTGATACAAGACTTGATCAGCTGTCCGATCGTTCTCCAAGATGGCTGATTTTTAGACCAGTAATTCGTAGACTAAAGACTGCCAACGCTATTGATACTTTTCTCTCGTCGAGGAGAAATAATTCATTTTTTTACTCTTGTATGTTTTTGCTACGTTTAGCTATAATTTACTCCGATAATACGAGAGGGATTTATGTGGCGAACGATTTAGTTAAGTCGTAGATTGCATATAAATAAATAAATATGTATAATGGAGAAGTGAAAAAAAGATACGTGTTCGAAGTCCGTAAAAATAAATAATGTAGATATTCAATTGATTAGGTATCAAAATCAAAAGCAATTAATTTGAGTGACATCGAGACCATTCAATAATTATTCTATTTCTTATTAATTTGAAATTATAGACACCACTCTTTAACTTTCGGACGGCGGACCATGGAGAGAACCCCAATTTTAATTTTTTTAAATTAGCGTCATAGGCGAATTTACCACCCTTCTGTGAACGTATACAATTTTTTCCAAAATTGTAGAAAATAATAATTTGTCCCGTCCGAAAGTCAAGTCAAGTTAGATCTTCCTCCCCTAATCTCACCTGCTCCACCTGAGACATAGCCAAGAAAAATAATAAAAATCCTTATGCACTCAACAAGAATCGCTTTTCCCCTTCTTTTTTTTTCACATAAATATTTAATATTGTTAGTACACAATCGACAATCCCCATCATCGATGCAACTTAGTTCTTCGACATGATGGTTACCTGTACATGTGTATATTGAAACCATACCGGATGAAACGTTGAAAGTTACAAAGTTTTCGTATGTATATACAGCACTCATAGAAACATAACGATGTTTTATATTGACCCAATCTTTGCCAAAACTTTAGACTATAAATATATATATATATATATATATAAATATAAATATGTTATATATCAAATCGTTGGATCTTATGTACATCTTTTGTATAGTGTAAAATGATGGACGAATAATGGATTGAACGAGATCAGAAATGAAACAGATTAAAGACTTACATGTACCATGGATACAATTATCAAAATCTCTATATATCTCAATACTGTAAATAAAATATACGTAAAAATGTTTAAGAAACAATTTGATTATTAAGGAGGACAGCCGGAGACTGACAAGTAAATGTTAGAGATCTTATAGAATTTAACATGCATGTTTATCTTCTTCATTACTATCAATTTACAAGTAGTTTCACAGCCGACGAATAAAGTATTGATTATATATAGAAATTTTATAGAAGTGTAAAAAGAAAAAAAAAGAAATTTCATCCATGATTTTTAGTTGAAGTAATTTTGAACATGCTGCTTTTATAATAATGGTTCGTTTATTAGATTGACAGCTGAATTTGCAATCTTTTTATGCATTTTATTTAAAAATTTTATTGCAACGGGATCAAAAAATTACTGCAAGGATTCTATAATTGTCAATTTAATTGCCAATCTAATATTATAAAGGGTGTTAACAAATTGTTAATTAATAAAGGGTTAATGGTACTCATACATACAAATAGAAATCTTTTAACATCGTTAAATAAGAAATTTGCAAATTTTTATTTTTGAATTTTCAAGGATTCTATTAGCTTGAAATTTTCATTTTAATTACCCCTTGTACGACTAATGCTGGATCAATTAAGACTTAACCTTACATATGTCTTACATGACACTATAATAATAAAAAAAATACAATAGATAATAAAATAAATGCCTGAAGATGTGTACAAAAGAAAATTTGATTAATAAGTCATGTTTGACCCAGCACCCACCGTACTAATTAATAATTCATTAACACCCCATGTACCTAATTCAATTTTTCAGTTTTACGTTGCAATTAAACGGGTTATTGAAAAGTTTGACACGTTTCTTTGCAAAGTACATTCGCATGATGAAATGTTTATTACTTCATAAACACGAATTACTATAATGCTATAGTTTATCCGTTCCATTGAGAGAAATATTATGCTTAGAGATTGAATCAAGAGAAAGAAGATTAAAAATTAAGAGGGAGCGAATGAAGGTGTTAATTAGTAAGGAATTTTGTGGTGAGAGTACGAATAGACGCAATACAAATGATCGTATTAGTTGAAGCATATAGCATTTAATGTAAAAAAAAAATAATAATAAAAAAAAAGATCAAATTCATTTATGAGAGTAGGTACAGTGAATCATAATCGAAATAAGTAATTTGAGGGAAAAAAGACGTCTGATGGTAAAGAGGTTTATTAAATATGTATGTCCGTGCGTGGGAAATGGACGATCCGTTTACCGGAAGTGGCCATCTCGAGGAGAAGTACGAAGGCGTCTGATTCGCTGATAGTGAAAATACAAAATATAAAAAAATGATTAAGCGTTTACTTAGCGGTCTAGTCCATTTTTTCTTGCAAAGTTTAATGCGATACATAATTGTAAATAAAAAAAAAAGTAAGGGGATAATAATTAAAAAAATAATAATAACAGGACTAGAAGATATGCAATCGCGTCAACGTGAGTTGCTAAAACCTTTTTATAAACTGATTTTGTATTTATTAATTAATTGCGGTTTTTTATAGAGGTAACGAATCCGTAATTCTTATCGCCTCTCAGTTCTCGTATGGTTTCCAACGACAAATGTTAATTTATTGACTGTGAATAGAAATAAATGATTGAAAGAATCGACATCAAAGGCCACCTTTTCCTCCTCTGTTTCCAAGCTTTTGTTTAGATTTTTCACGGTAGGTATATTGAACACACTCGATGTCATTTGTGTAACTTTTAAAATTGTGGGGGAAGACCAGTCCATATGTATTTTTTAATAAAAATAAAAATATTTTCCTTTCGTACAATCAGTTATTTGATTCTCTATGAATCTAGCTGAAATAATGAAAAAGAGGAAGCGTTGAGGATATTCTTTAGAAGAATTTAAAAAAGCAAAAATGCCAAACTAGGTCGCAAATGAAAAGCTAGATAATTATGAATGGAAGAGACACGGAAATTAATCAGAAGTAATTTAGTCCCCCATCGCTGTTTCCATTCATTATTCAGTCGCGTTATGAAAAAAACGTTTCTCAAATTATACGTGTGAGCTTTCAGCGAAGCTGACAAAAAAAAAATGCAGAAAATACGTTGTCAGAGTGCATGGTTCTTTTTTTTTTTTTTTTTTTTTTTTTTGAATGGAAGCTCGTTCACCGAAAAGTGTGCCATAAAAGGGATGCTCGTCAGACGAATGAACTTTCAAAGAAAGTGCGATAAAAAGCATTTTAGCAATGCATGTAAATGTACCCTCCGAGGATCATTCCGAATGGTTACGACATGTACGTGTCTATCTGTAACCTTTTATTTGAACCCGTTCCTTAAGAGAAAGAGCTCGAGTTACTTTCAGCAAGGTAGATTATGACGGTAATAACTCGGCAAGTTTTCACTGGTACCAGCCAAAGTACTGTAAGTAAAAATCCATAGGGGTTGAAATCCAATTTAACTTTTTAAATCACCGAGAATGAAATTACAATGATCCGCGAAGATATGTCCACTCTTCTTCATAAGGGAGGCTGCCAGCTTCTGGTCCCATTTTATGCCCTTCGTTTATTATGTCAAAAAATTTCAAAATTTTAAATCCATTACAATTTTGCAAATTTTTAACCCAGTTATTGCCAAAATAAATCCTCTTCTTTTAAATTTTATTTACAAGGTGGCCTACGAAAATTGGAAGAAAATTTCTATTTTAAGAAAATCGCCTTATAAATTATATTTCATAACGTCAATTGAGGTAAGGGCTTCCTCCTTTACCTAAAACGCAACCCTTCGTCTTGTATGGAGTCTTACGTAGATTTCATGGCCTCAGGGGCGTATTGTCGGATTGATCGGCCTTTCAAAATCTTCTTTCGACACCGCTTGACTTCATTCAGCTTGAAAAATGTGTGCGGTTTATCCGTATTGAACGAGACAGTCGGACGGAAATCCCGTTACAAATCTCTGCACTCTATTCACGAAGATTCGATTGCCGATATTACGTGGTCCCTTTATTGCATCAAACTTCAGGCCTTTACTTAATAAAAAGCCGACCAAAAAGATCCCTGGTATTTTATCAAATACTTTAACGAAAAATGTAATCCTCTTCTAATTTAGGGAATTAATCTTAATTCCTTGGATTTTTTACCAAAAACCCATCGTGTAGTTGAATCGTCCAGATAGCTACTTTTACTGTGATATAATGCCACGATGGCCATAATTCTTCTATGGATGATGATCCCTGGGTTAAACCTCCTATAGTAGATAATGGGTCAAAAATCACCCTTAAATCAGGATTATATATACTGCAATAATTGTTAGTGGAATCTTTAAATTTTGGGATCATAGGATCTTGGGATTTTGGAATTTTGATATCTTAGAATTTTGAAATTTTTGAATCTTGGAATTCTGAAATTATAGAACGAGGAATCGAATTTGCTGAAAAAGAAAATAATCGCAACAATTGTACTTCTTGCAATCACGCGATGTTTTACTATTCTTTCATTTTTATAGAGCTGACCAATATCCCGCAATAATATCTTTGGCTACTCTTCCTTGAAATCACTATCGGTTGATCTTCCCCTTTTTCGATCATTCGACGACACCGGAAAGAAACGTCTGAGTAGATCCGTAGGAGGATTGGTCTGGTTACGAGATGGAATATTGCGTGTTCCAACGATCTTCTCTCTTTCCTAAACGTTTTTCTCCTCGAGGACGATTTTGTCCCGCAAAATGGTATAAGGCTTTGGCCTCCTCCGTAACTTCTTCCTTCCTTTCATCCTTCTTTTCGCCGTAACGATCCCTTTGATGTTGCTGAAGCACACGTGGAAATCCATCAGTCGGGAATACATAGAATAACTGAAAATTGTTCAGGAGGGAAGTAAACCGCCGATTCACCTGTTTCTCCTAACACAACGTCATTAAAAATCTTTTTTCGCAAACTTTTATTTTTAATAAACTATCGTACGAAAAGGTTTCTAGTAATGGAAGAAACAAAAATGAGCTTGCAGTTCCTTTGAATGTGCAAACTTTTGTACATTTTAGTACAGCGTATTAAAAATTTAGGATTCTTGTCTTATACTCCTGTCCCTTGAGAGAGTTCAGCTAATGACACCATTAACGATGAAGACCAGACAAACACTTTGAAAACTGTCTCCAGAATCTTAAGAACTCACGTCCTCTTACAATTACAGAAAACAACAAAGTTTAACAATATTTTTCTTTTAGTATTGTTACAATACTCTTAGATTACGAATAATTAGGTTTACTTATTTTTTTGATTAAATAAATTAATTAATTATGAAATAATGAAAATGAAAGAAAGGATCTTTCGTAAACGAAAAATAAAGTGTTTAATAAAGTACGAGAAACCGTTGATTACCTACGCTTCTAACTTTTCCGTCATCCCGCAGGATGTATTACAAATCCTAATTTGACGGAAGTTACGTGTTGACGAGGAAAAGTTACGGTGTTTCTTCTTCGGAGAAGTCATTCGTTATACAGCCGGACGTTAAGACGCGAGAAATGATGGTGGTCCGAGGATACTGCCACTCGATCAGTATTTTCCTTTAGCGTTGTCACTTTTAAAATTGCCTTTAAATCGTATTAAAATCTCGGGTCCATCAATTTTAATATATATAACGCGTTTAAACAAAACTTTAATGTATTTTTAAAAATAGCTTGTTTCTCGTGTTACGACGATACGGTGGCTGGTCATTCGTGTTCAAAGAGTGAATTGGGAGTTCTAATAAATTTTCCAGGGGTTTCATAAAATCAGCCATAACGTGGCAAGCGCCGTTATCATTTTATTTACAGGATTATTTCTTTAGCAGTAGCTACTACAGCAAGATTTAGCGGTCTTTGGAAAGAGCAGCTTTTAAACTCCACATAAATCCATCTGGCACATTCATTCGTTTTAAACTGCGCAAAAGACCGCAAGACATTGCAATCCATTTAGCTCAGCCCACTTTCTGGAATTACGTTGGAAGAACGCGGGTACTAGCTTGTGTACACGGCAAAAAATTGCTTGCTGAAACGAAGAAATACTTTCAGCGGAAATATGCAAAGACACTTCACGCTGATAATGGCATTGAACGTTGCTGAATAGCGATATAGAGAATCGCTGCTTCTAGACGTAGCTCGATATGATCAGACAGCAGCTAATATTTATGAATTTTTAATTTTTAATATGTACTGTTACGTCTACGAGGTATGGGACACCTTACAATTCTAAAATAATTGGAGATCACAAAATTGGTGATTTAATTATTTATTTCACACGTAACATTGGCAATGATCATTAGGGTAATTAGGTTTTTTAGAAACTTCGAAATTTAGACATACATGAAATATTTAGTACAGGTATTATTATGTAAAATATTTAGTTCCCATCGGCAAATCTTTCTGAAAATCACTAACGGTTTCTATTTATGAAGGAACTTTCTTTATTCGTTCTTATTTGACTACAGAGACCTGGCAGTATTCAAATTCTTCGTAGCAGTCGAACGAATCAGAGGTGATTGGTGTAGAATTCTCAAGCTGGAAGCCATTTGAATGGACTTCGTTCCTTCGGATTCACCCGTTTTCTCGATTTTCCCTATGTTCCTTGCTTCTCCTTACTTCTTGAGGTATTGAAAACGTGGTTACACTGAAAAGCATCTTTCCTTTAGACGGAGAAGCTTAAGACACGAGGAAACAAGAAAGGAATTTCTAAGACAGTTCCACATAAAATACACACTGCTTCGAAAATCTCGATGGAATTATTTTCACGATTTACAATTATATTTCATCGAGTTGTTATAAACAAAGGTGTCATATAATTGTAGAATTTTTATTATCCCCTTAATTAATTTTCAGAGGAAACAGTATTATTGGTTTTATTTTATTTCTCTCTACGAGGAAGTCCCTCACCTTTAATTTCAACAATTTTTTTAATTTATAAATTTAAATAGTTATTTATAGGTGTTATGTAAATTTACATAGTTCGCCATCTACTTGCATACTCAAAGGCAGAATCCTGTGAAACTTCGAGTAACCACATCTTGTTGAGTAACGATTGTTCAGCTCAGTTTGCAAGCTACAACTCCATCCTTGGTAATTAGTCAAGTTAAGGTAACTTCGACGATCGCCAAGTGTCCTTTTTCAATATTATCGACTATGCTCTTGGGACAATAAGAAGAGAACGAGATACACAAACAGCAGAATAATTATTTTAAGTTGTCGAAGAAATTCCATAAGACATTTACAAGGTAAGCAAAATGATTAAAGTTTCAGGTTCAATTAAGACTTCTAATTTCCTAATTTTCTCTACAATTTGAATACATAGGAATACTTAGTAAAATAGATATTTAATAGCATTGCAATTTGGCAACAAGTACACCCTTCGCACCTTTCACAATTCCCTCCTCCTGCATTCGGCAAAGATTCCAAAAGCGTATCTTTTCCTTCTTTCTTGCGGTTTAATGAAAAATTACTAGCAGTTGTGGTGCACGAAACTGGCGACAGCAGAATGGAACAGACGAATGTGATTAATGGTAGGGTAAATTAGCAGAAGCCATCAGTTCGTGTTTCTTTTGCGAGTTCCTGCAACGACTCTCAATGGGGCTGTTAGAGAAAAAGAAGTGTAAGCTATCCGAAAATACGAATTCTCGTGTGCCGAAAATATATAGTATGCAAGCACATTAGGTACCTTTCAATATTTCAAGACAAAGACATGTGCCATTGCTTGACTTGCTATAATTATATAAAATTAAGAATTACTGCGTGTACTTAAAAATAATATGAATAAATAGTAATATTGCAGGTAAAAATTATTAACGATTTATATATCAGCAGAAGTCCTAAGATGGAATAATATGGCACTTAAGGCTGCTTAATTAAGGTTTATCACAACCTACCACATTAATTAAATTTTATTTTATTTTATTCCCTTAGATATCATTTTCCTAATAAATGGAAGTCTTTCTTTTTTAAATTCCATCCGACTCAAGTACCAATCCACCCAACTCCTCCCTTGCCATTCAAGCGTTAAACGGACCTATTTCAATGACCATTTTTAACAGTTTTCTATCTAAGCAATTCCCATAACTCTCATCGAAGGTGTAACTACCTCGGATCCTCCTCGGAAAAATATTCGTAAATCGTTTTCGATTGGCGAACACAACAGAACGATAAAGCTTCGACAGAACAGTTAGCTGTTAGAGGAGGTGTAGGTAGGAGGAAGCAAAGAATTCCCTGGGGCACTCGGAATCACCGCGTTAATTCTGAGGTGTCTGAAAGTGGCTGAGCCAGGCTTACGGTTGCGCGTACCTATTCTATACAGGTAACGATCATTCTATGTATGTATGGAAGATGGTGTATGATGCGATACTGTGTTGGTAGGGGATGATGTCGGTAAGCATACAAGAGGTTAGAAACGACGAGACGGAGAACCCTTCTCGTCTGAATACCGCGATGCTTGAGTCAGCGTTGCACTTCGCCTCCCCTGTCTCACACTTGGCGAATTATCACTGCAATTCATTGTTTAAGCCGGGACAATAACAGGAACGGTTTATTGATCGATATATCCCGAATGTTTCTAATACCTGCCCCGACACCTTTTGTCCTGACCACATTCTCTATTGACCTTTCCTCGTCTCAGATTTAACCCCTTCAGCACGATAAATTCATAGATTTATTAGGGTAATTTAAAAGTTCATATGCGATGCATTTTTATTTAATTTATCTTAAATAAGAAATAATGAGTTAGGTTGAAAGAGTTAAGATTAGACTTCATTGGAAATCCAATCATTGGAATGTTAAGGATGGCTGATTATAGGATATGAAATAATAACTGCGACGAATCATTTTGATCCTTTATTCAATATTTATAATCATATTTCATATTTGA